CCTATAAATACAACCCTTAGGGCGTTGTTTTAGCCTTGGGTTTTGTTTAGATTAAAGTTCGCCATAGCTGCAACTCGTGTACTTCGTTTGTGTTCAACGACCAAACCAAGACGTCACAGAACACCACTTGTTTAATAAAGCTTTCCTCTTATATTCGCAATATCCATATTGCAATCTCAGTTTCTTGCTTGTTCTTCGTTTGCGTGCAGGAAATAGACCTTCGTGGTCAGGTTGATCATGCTCCGGCGTGGTCAATAACCTCTCGGAGTTGGTTTAGCGATTGCTAAGGCGCGACGTCCTCGCACGTTCGTAGTCGGATCGTCAAAATCAGCTCCATCAAAAACGATAGCCACAATCTCATTGAAAGACGGGACACCTTTGCCTCTATCATCATGGAAACTACATTAGGTAATGTTGCTAAGGTACTTTATAAGGGTGTGTTTGGTTGAAGAACCAAGTGGAATATAATGTAATGGTTCCATTCCATAAGAATGGAATGGTTCCATCTCTGTGTTTGGTATGAACAGTTAGGTGGAATGGAACGGTTACATCTTCATGTTTAGTTGGTGGAATGGAATGATTTTTTTTTCAAAGTAGTGTTTGCTTTTCCAGTAATATGTGCAACATTAAATTTATTTTGAAAGCATTTTGTTTAAGTACCAAAACAACATTTTTTTCATCACCTACAGTTTGTATTTTGCTTCACAATCATGCCAAATAAAATGACATCAATAATCTATACACAATCTATTTACAAACAAATCTAGAAAGAATTCTCAACAAATGGTGGGGTATGCACAAATTCCAAAGGCGTGAACAAGCACAAATTGCAAGAGGGAGCAGGAGCACGATGGAGCAGAGCCTGATTCACTTTGGCGTAGCCGCCGCATGCCAATTCGTCTGCAGTACAGGATGTGTGTACGCCGCTGCTGCAGGTGAGGCCACCACTCGGCCAGCCACGAGCCACGGCCACAGTCCATGGTCGCTGCGGCTCCTTCCACTGCCGCCGCCCGCCAGAGCTGGTCGCTGTTGCACTCCTCCTTAGCCGCTGCGGCCGCGCAGACGTGCCTGCGACAGGATGGCCGCTGCTCCACTCCTCCTTAGCCGCTGCCGCCGCACAGCAAGCAGCTTCTACCGCTCAGATGTGCCTGCGACCGGACGGTTGTTCCTCGTTCCTTTGCCTGAATGTATCCGCGGCAAGATGGCCTCTCCTCCTTCTGTCGCTGGTAGAGCTGAAGATGTCGATGGCCGGCTGTGTGGGAGAAAGACGAGCAGGAGGCGGGACGACAGGGACAAGACGGACAGCTGACGCCGGAGAGGGAGAGAGGTGGGAGTCGGGGCCGGGGAGTGGCGGCGCTGAGATTTGAAGGGTGTGTGCGAGTTGGGGGAGGAGAAAGAGACGCCCGTTCTACGTGGTCCGGCCAATTTGGAGGTATCGCTCGGTTCCAGATATACAAGGAATATTCGTTCGTCAGGAACGAGTGGGTTCCGTTCCATTTGTATACCAAACGCTGGAACAGGCCCTAGGGATGGGTCGGACCCATGTCGTTCCACTTCGTTCGTGAAACTAAACACATCCTAAGATTACAACAAACTATGCTCAATGACGATAGCTCCAACTGGTAAGAAGGTAAGTTCTATTCGGGAGATCTCTTGCTTGGATGAAAAGTTGACATGATCATGTCCATGTTTGCTTTTAAACATGTTCCTAATGATACCAATGATGTTCTACTGCCTCACTTGTTGAACAAAAGAATGATTAGGTGGATATGAATTTCATTTCCAGAAACAATTTTAGTAACAATGCTTATAAGAACAACTTTGAAAATAATTATGTTAGACCATACCTGCAAAAAGTTCAAAATACATATGAAAATTCTTATGGCAATAAAAATATACCTACTGATCTTCAAAATGACGCGTACTCGGCCAAGTCCTGCTATCTGGTGCTCTTCTCTGGATCCGCAATTGAGCCATCTTGGCACCTCACTTAGAAGTCGTGGGCTCCACTATGCATAAAGATCTTCCTATGGCTTGCTTACCAGGGCCGGTGTTCGACCGCAGACAGATTGGCACGTCGTGGACTGCCGCACACCTCTCTATGTCTACTTTGCGACAAGGAGCCAGAAATCATCCAGCACCTTCTCGTCACCCGCTCCTTCTACCGCTAGGTGTGGTCATGAGATCCTGGCCTGGTGCCATACCATGACCATGCTACCCAGCCCGGATGATGCGTTCCACGAATGGTTTTCAGCCTTCATCCAAGACTCCCCAACCGCCCTTCGACGCGGCCTCGCCATCGTGTTCATTCTCACCGCTTGGCGAATCTGAAAACACCACATCGGTAGCATGTTCAACAATGATACACCTTCGGTTGTGCAGCTCACCAATGAGATCAAAGACGACGGTAGAGCTTGGGCTCGCGCTGGGGCCAAGGGGCTTGGCCAGCTGATCAACACGAGACATAGACTTTGTAGCTACCATTCTCATGCGCTCTTGTAGGCCTTGATCACACCGCCTACGTGTTGGTGCTTGCAAGACCGCCTCTGTAATGACTTCTTTAAACCTTCTTCTATCAATACAATGATACATAAGTCTTTTATGGATTCGCGAAAAAAAAGAGATGTCAAATTTTTTTGGTGAGGATGGATTAATTAATCGTCTCTGTAGCTGCTCAATTTGTATGTACTCGGTGGAATGCATCGTAAGCATGATTCCCTCCAATAATTTCGATCAGAAATAAACAAATGAAGTACTTTAAGATTATTTATTAAGACCAATCAAAATATTAAGCTCGGATGTAGCTTTTGATCCCATCGGTTTAATTTACTAGACAGTGGACAAGTGGAGTCCATCTGATGAGAAAAACAAGCATTGGAGAGCTTGGATCAAGAAGATGGAAATGGAGGCTCCCGTCTTGGCAGCTCTTGCGGCAGTAATCATCGCTTTCATCTTGTTGGTATTGCCACACCTCAGAAAGCAGAGCTCATCTCAAGACGATCGGCGCCGTCAGCTGCCTCCGGGCTCCTTCGGCCTTCCCGTCGTCGGCCAGACGGTCGGCCTACTGCGCGCCCTCCGCGCCAACACCGGCGAGGCATGGCTCCGGCGCTGGGCCTCCGAGTACGGCCCCATCTCAAAGCTCTCCCTCTTCGGCCTCCACACGGCCTTCCTCGTCGGCCCCGCCGCCAACAAGTTCCTCTTCGCCAGCGCCGCGCTCACCGCCAAGAGCTCCACCTCCTTCAACAGTATGGTCGGCAGGCGCAACATCCGGGAGCTGGTCGGCGACGACCACCGCCGCGTGAGGGCCATGATGGTCCAGTTCCTCAAGCTGGACATCGTGAGGAGCTACGTCGCCAGCATGGACGACGAGGTCCGGCACCACCTCCGCGCCCACTGGGACGGCCGCACGACCGTCGCGGTGATGCCGTCGATGAAGTCGCTCACCTTCGACATCATGTGCACCGTCATCTTCGGGCTCGGGAGAGCTGACCACGCCGCCGTGAGGCGGGAGCTCTCCGCGGAGTTCCAGCAGCTGGTGAGGGGCATCTGGGCGATCCCGGTGAACCTGCCTTTCACCTCCTTCGGCAAGTGCCTCGCCGCGAGCCGGCGAGGCCGGCGAACCGTCGCGGCAATCATCAAGGAGAAGCGCGCCAAGCTGGAGAGCGGGCATAGTTCGCCGTCCGACGACCTCATGACCCACATGCTCGCGGAGGGGCTGGCCGACGAGGAGATCATCGACAACGTCATGTTCATGATGGTAGCGGCGCACGACACCACCGCCAGCCTCCTCACCTTCCTCCTCCGGCACCTCGATGGCAACCGGGACGCCTACGGCAGGGTCGTGGCAGAGCAACAAGAGGTCGCCAGGAGCAAGGCTCCGGGGGAAGCTCTGTCGTGGGACGACCTCGGCAAGATGAAGTACACATGGTCGGCGGCGATGGAGACCCTGCGCCTGGTACCTCCCGTGTTCTCCATGCTCAAGAGGGCGGTGGCAGACGTGGAGTTTGACGGCCACCTCATCCCCAAGGGATGGCAGGTGTTGGGGGCGATGAACCTGACGCAGCAGGACCCGGCCATCTTCCCGGAGCCAAGCAGGTTCGAGCCGGCAAGGTTCGAGAGCCCGATACCACCCTACAGCTTCGTGGCGTTCGGCGGCGGCGCGCGCATGTGCCCTGGCAACGAGTTCACTAGGGTGGAGACGCTGGTGGCCATGCACTACATCGTCACCGGGTTCAGGTGGAAGCTCGCCGACGGCTGCGACGGCAGCTTCTCCAGGTACCCGATGCCGTCCCCGGCTCAGGGGCTCCTCATCGACATCGAGCCAATAGACACAACCACCACAGGTGCAACAGGCATCAGCAAATGATTTCGAAGAATTTAGTAACCTGATCCGAATGATGCATCGACCATTCAGCTGTATGATTGCAAATGAAATGTACGATTACAGATATACCTCCATCCCAAATTAGACATTACTTGTCTGTCTAGATACCGAGGACGGAGGGAGTACTAGTTTGCAATTATGCCAAGTATTTCTCACATTCTTGAAAGGAAAATTAGCAACGCGCAGGACATCATCTACTCCAAACCAGTCAAACTTACGAATATGACTTTTAAGGCCCTCTACAATGCACACATAATTCAAGAGACTGGTAAAATTTACAAATATTAAGCTCCAAGCGGCATAACCAGCAACGCTCCGATGGTAAACATGGCAAAGGCAATCACAAAACGACTCGGATAAACATCAGGGAATCCACTACGATTTTCTCCTCTACTAGAGCAAAGCTATCGACCAAATTCCACCAAAAAAAGAACAAGCAGAAGACGGAAATTCACTGCTATAGGGCCCCTGAACTGCACATTGCATAATCCATCGACAACACTTCGATGCTTTTGGAAAACACCAGCATTCAGCTCACACCAGACATGTAAAATTTTGGGCACTTCCAAGTTTATCCATTATTCCAAGCATAACATCATACATAAGCACAAAAACTCTAGTTAATAGGGTGATATTGCGCCGATGCTCGCTTAGGTGGAAGCTTCCGAAGGATGAAAAGGACCAGCGCGGAAGGCAGTATCTCTGTCAACTGCACGGTAATAGGGGAGTGTGTGTAAAGACAGGAACTAAATCTACAAAAATACCATGGATACCATGGTAATGACTTTTCGATGTTACTTACCATATAATAGAAGAAATCTAGGATTGGATGATCTAAAACCTCCAAAGAAACATCAGCATCAAATGCAGATACTGCCACCTATGATCAAGTAAGAAGGGGGAAAGGGAGGAACTTAGAAGTAAATAAATCAACAGGACACAAGTATATACACGTGCACACGGTGCACTGTTCTGGAAGAAGATCTGTAGACCATAGACCAAGTGGGTTTATCACAACAGTGCACAGCAACATCAGGTGCAGTAAACATTAGGTTGATACGTTTGGTGGCTTCACATTCATATGAAACCGTCCACACAGGTGGACATCAGAGTTCTTCTTTACGCCCAACCAAAAAGGAATTTAAGCATGATTCCTGAACCCCTAACAGTGAGTCACGAAAAAAACAGCGAGTCATGAAGAACCAAATACTCACCACGATGCATCTTATCAGGAAACAGGTGCAGCAGATTGTCGTCACAGTCCCAACCTGACAATTTTCAACATTACAATAAAATTTTGGAGGCCAAGACAGAAACTGACAGTTATTATTTTTGGACTGATGGATCTTCAGTTCAGTTATTATTGAGAAAAAGGATAACAATAAAAAAATAGAACATTTGTAAGACATACTAAACATATTAAGACAAAAAGAGAAGACGACACAACATTTTTGCCAGTCATAAATTCCGAGCACTGAGTTACAGATAATACAAAAGATTTCATGTTCAATGTGTGACAATTACCAGTATGTCATGTTAAAACTAATCATTGTCATGGCAAAGCTATATGAAATGACAGATTCTAACAGAATATGTCGGTATTTTGTTCTTGACAACATGCTATACATGTCCACCTGAACAGAAAATGTGTACAAATCCATTTATTGAAGGGTGTAATCACCTCATAAAGCTTCTTTTTTCGCCCCTTTGATTCAATGGGGAAACGTCTCAGCAAGACAAACAACCTATAGAAAAGAAAGAGCACAGCTTACAGATACAGCGCGCACACAGCGATACAATACAAAGAAAAAGCATTGGACTTGCCTTCCACCATATACTGCAAAACCAAGAAGGGCCACGGCGGAGACAGATACGATGAAGATTTTGCTCACCAGCTCAACCAACGCATTGTCGTTTATTCCAAGGTACACCCAAATACAGATCTGTCCAGATTTGCGGTCGGACATAGCAACCATGAGCATGGTTCTCTCTTATAGGAACAATAAAGTGATATGACCCTGCGATGATGAGAAATAACACACCTGAATTGCATATACGATGCTATTAACGGCTAGGTATATAATCCTTAACTTATCGGTGGGGAGACTCCTAGCCTGCAAAACTCAGAAGAAAAATCTCGCATAATTCCTTGAACAAACACAACTAAATGATAAGAACATGAAGAGTGTATAACAAAGATTGGTAGGAAATACCTGATGGTATATTTCTGCCCAGAAAAGAACAAGTAAGGTGTAGGCCGAGAAGAACAACAAGCCGGGGAGGTCTAGTAACACCAACTTATAAACCTGGCCAAGCCAATCAAATCAATTAGCAAAAAAGGTCTCGACACCAGTGCTAAAGTAAAGTGGTAGTGCCCAAACTTTGGCTCTTACTTTAGTTTGGAGGAGGAAGACATAGGCATGGAATCCGAATACAACGGCACGAACTGCAGCAAGGTGTTTGTTGGTAGGTTAGCACAGGCGTGACACATGCGGGGGATTAGTTGCAAATGAAGGGTGAAATCAAAAAAAGGAATCAGGATTGGGAGATCCTCCCCACATTTAATTAACATTGATTACATTGCCCCCATTTCCGGCAACATTTATTTTACATTACCCCCATTGACGACGAAGTTCATGAGGTGGAACACCTTCTGCGTGGTCCAGCCGAACTCGGGCACTCTGCGCTGGATCCTCACCAGCTGAATCTGCAGGCGGACAGCATAAAACGGCCTCAAAATCGAACTCGGCGGCGGCACCCCCTCGATGCGTTGTGAGATTGGTGGAGGAAAGATCCGATTTCAATCGGCAGCTCGGTTCGGATCAGTAATGAGCCGACGCATGCATTGGGCTTGGAGGGAGAACGAATCAAGGTAGCATTCCCGTGGAGGCGAGGGGGTGGACTGACCAGCGCGACGGCGGAGACGAGGGCGTAGGCGGCGGTGAGGGAGAAGAAGGCACCGTCCTGCCACGCCGGCGACTCGTTGACCTCCTCCCACCATCCCCGGAGCGCCGCGTGGCCGGCGGCGACGAGGGCCGCGATGGGGGAGGAGGTGGAGGAGGAGACCAGCTCCCTCATCTTTCCCTCAGCTTGACGCTCTTGGCGTTCTCACACTTTCTGTGGGGGGAGACGGAGAGAGAGAGAGAGAGGAGAAGCACAAAAGAAATTGGAGAGAGGGAGGGAAGAACGTGGGTCCGCATGACAGCGTGATGGGTCAGGATTGGTATATTTTATGCCTTGGGCGGTGGTGGGGCCGTCGGATTTTGGGCGTGTGCGTTTATCGGGGGGTGTGGTGGGGCCCAGTGAACAGTGGCACGGGAGTCTTCGCCGTCAGCCCATTGCTGGGTTAGCTAGAGAGGACAGGTGGGCTCCACGTGGCAACTTGGAGCACCGGCTACTTCCATTCTCGGCGGGGCCCCGCCGTCAGTGGACGGACATTATTAAGTCATGGACTGCTGCTCGTGACCGTGACATCGATGACGAGGATGTGGATGAGGAATTGCGCGGTTGGATCGGGGATATATGAGTTGTGAATATATGATGATGTAATGATGTCTGAGTCTGAAAGGGAATGGATAAGTAAAAAAAAATTGTGTTTGTAACCATGAGTTTGCATTAATCATCTTGGAGAATTACTACAAATTAAAATCCTTTAGGTAAGATCGTAGGATCAACCTCAAAAACTCGTATTTACACAATAAAAATTATTATTATCTGACAAAATACCTATGATGTATATTTCCAAAAAAAATAACTTAAAACTCGAACTACAATTACAGTTAGAGATACAAAAATGACAAATTTAACTATGAATAGTTTCAGCTTTAGGTGCCCGCAAAAAAAGAGCTTTAGGTGAATATAGTAATTGAAACAAAGGTTTGTTGATAATGGTTCTCTTCGCTCCCCCCCTCCCCTCCCTTCCCCTCTTTGATTATTC